ATCCATACTGCAGACTGTATTCTTCAACCTTCATCAGTAGGTGCCTTAAGTCATCCTCACTTTCAGCAAGCAAAGTTGTATCATCTGCATATCAAAAAAAGAGGTTAATAAGTCTTGTATGATTGGATAGGACACACACACACACACACACAAAAGCGTTTCCCAAGGCCATTCTGCAGTTTTTAGCATTGGAGATTGGAAATCTTTTGGCACTAGAAAAAGCATCAGGTGAGAGGTCCAATTTGACAGGAAAGAATAGCATATGATGAATTAGAGGTGACTTTGTGTCATCTGAGTGAAAATGTCCAACAGGCTGTAGAGATGAGAGAAGAGAACTCAGGAGAGATGTGAACATGCATGATGTAAATTTGTGTTTCATTAGCCTGGGTGAGACCATTGAAACCTTGAAGATGAGTAGAGGAGAGAGAGTGGAGGGAAAAGAAGAGGCTGGTGATATAGTTAATACTTATTTCTACTTCACTCTTTAAATGTGGTTACATATAGGACTGCTTAGCTCAGCAAGAACTAGGGAATATCTCCTTGTGAAAAAGCTGTCGAGATGAATAAAATGTTAATCTGTAGAGAACTGATTTTTCATCTACAAATATACTCTTCATATAATAGTTTAAATATTTTAATAACTCTGAGTTATTATAATAATAGCTAACATTTATCCAATGCTTACTATGTGCTGGGTGCTATTTTGCATATAGTAACTCATTTATCCTTGTATAAACATTATCATGTAATTTGTTATTTTTATCATTATCATTTTATAAAAAGAAAACTAAAGGTAGAGAAATGTTAAGGAATAGAAAAGTTAAGTAATGATTTCAAGGCCCTGTTGCTCTTAAGTGGTGAAGCTGGAATCTGAATCCAAGGAGTCTTCAAATATACATTTTTTTTTCAAATATACATTTTAAATCATTATACTGTACTGTCATATAAAACCATTCATAACAACTGTCTTTTACAGGTCTTTGATGACATAATCCTGTTTTCTAAGTAGTCATATAGCAAGCATTCTTAAGGGCAGTAATGTTTTTGTGTGAAGAAAATATGACTTTCCTAGGGCAATACCTTGAAAGGTTTCTTGATAGGTTGTGCATGAATCTCATTATATTTTTAATAGAGGGGTAGATAGCATCTGGTTTGAAAAAAAATATGATATGTATAGCATGTTGCATAGGAACAAAAAAGAGTGTACCACAGCAAAACAATCTGCCATGGTTAATGCATCCAGGCTAATCATTAAGCTAAAAAGCATTGTGGATCTTTTGTTGAAATAATAAAGCATTTATATTATACAAACAAGGCCGAACAATGCACACAAGGTTAACATAGCCACGATTTAAGCCTCAAACAGTGATATTCATTATGGATGGTGCGATAATACTTTTCACTAACACACAAGTTTTGTATTGATTTAGGTAATTAGGAAATTAGAAGATAGCTTCTTCCTAAGTTTCTCAGAGTAATCATACCAGAGTATTTTCTCTTGGTGCAGACTTAAGCTGGATCCAGATCACACTGTCCCATTCAGTCATTTTAACAGTAAGTCATTTAACCATTGTTTCCAATCCAATAAATGGGAAAATGTGCACAGGACATGTCTTAAGGCAGGACTGTGAATAACCTTTAGAGAACCAGAGATGGAAATAGATCATAATTACAAAATACTAAGAACTGAGGAACAAGATGGAACCTAGGTCCAAAGGCTGGTTAATGCTAAATAGTAGGAACATCTAGAAAGTAAACAAAGATGGTGGTTGTTGTATAGAAACCAGATGAATATTTTATTTCACAAACATATATTATATATATGTTATATAACTTACATCATGCATCTGAGATACAGGGGTAGCCATACATTTTCTTGTCCTTGAGAATGTTTGCTTTAATTTCTTTCCATTTTAAATTGTCATGATTACCCAATACCTGTAAAATGTGACAAGTTTCTTATCTGTAAGCTCTCTTCTACAAGACCACGAGACAGTGATATTCCTTGTTTTGTTTTTCTTACACAGGTTGTTTTTCAAGGTCAAATGATTTCAACTCATGAACAGGATGAAGTCATAGCTATTGATGATATATCTTTCAGTCCAGGCTGCCTGCCTACAAATGGTAAAATTTTTTTCTTTCGTTTTTATCCCTATTGTGTATAACAAATCTAGTACAACTTAAGGATTGTAATGATTGTTTCTTGCTCTTTATTTTTGTCTAATGTTTCAGTGTAGGTTATTTTCCATTGTTCTCATCTATTTTATAATAGTAACTGGAAGTGAAGATAAGCTATTTTTCACCGACTGCAATAAGAGTCCAAAGGAGCTCTCGTGGCACAGTGGTTAAAACATTTAGCTGCTAACTAACAGTTTAGTGGTTCAAAGCTTCCAGCTGCTCTGTGGAGAAAAGTGAGACAATCTGCTTCTGTAAAGATTTACAGCCTTGGAAACCCTATGGGGAAATCCTACTATGTCTTATAGGGCCATTGTGAGTCGGAATTGACTTGATGGCAGTGGGTTTAGTTTGGTGGGTAATAAGAATTCAATGGAATAATTTAACCTGAGAATTGAAAAATTATAATAGAGTTTACATCAGCTGGTTAAATCTTACCAAAAAAGCTCTATGCCAGGAGGCGGGGCAAGATGGCGGACTAGGCAGAAGGATTGCACAGACCCTCTTCAACAAAGAAAAGGGAAACCAATAAATACAGACACAGAAGATAATCTTGGACCCCTGAGCCTTGAGGGAAAGGATGCAGAATTGGACTAAACCCCAACTAGCAGAAGAATTTGCGTGA